GCGCCGGCTGCCCTCCGCCGGCAGCGCGCATGCGCGAGGCGCCCGGCTAGGCCGGCGCCGGAATTGGTTCCCGCCCGATCAGGAGGCGCCGCCCCTTGGTGCTGCTCCTCGCCTGAGGTACCTGACGGCGGCGCCAAGGGCCTCGCAGCCCGCGCGGCCTGCAGCAGCGGTGACCGGCTCCTTTGTACGCGGTTTTAAGCAACGCACGCTTTTTATGTCCTGAAAATGCAACCTCTTTTTAGAACAGCGTTGTAGTATTTTGTTTTCTACCAGAAGCCGGGCTCAGCCCCTGCCGGCAACGGACAGATGAGATGTGTGAAGGAAGTCGTTGACTTGATACACGCTTTGCCTTTTAGGTTCATTTATTTTCGGTACCTGTTCTTTGGTACAGGTATTAGTAACGCTGGAAAATACGCACAAGTATTTTCTCCATGAAAAGACCAACTAATTAAAACAGCTGTGCATCTACAGAGCACGTAAAAAGCCTTGCTAGCAGAGTCCTCCACCGCATCGGTGCAAATGCTACCAGCAAAAACTCCTGCGACATAAATGTTCATTGATACATCAGTTTTGCTGTAACTCATTTTCCTAAGCTGTGATTTAATGTATTTGAAGAGACTTCAAGGTGTGCTGAACTCATGAAAACATTCAGTGCTTGCCAAAAAAAAAAAAAAAAGCAAGCTAAACATTCCTCCACCTCCAAAACCATTATAAGCCTGTTTCTTAAAGATGCACCCATGTTACAGCTCAAGTAACTCATTCATTAAAAAGCACCAGTCACTAAGTTCTATAATACAGCCATCATCTTGCAAATGACTACTGAAGTTAAATGCTAGCACTAATAAAAACTTAAAAAAATACAAATCTCTTACTACCAATCTTTAAAGATTTGTACAGAACATGTAAATAGGAAAACACTTTATATATGTTAAAATCTAAGTCTTTTTTGCAGTTTACTCAGCGTAACCAGGTAGTATTCAGTTGTGTCTGGTTTTTTATGCTTGTGTCCATTTTCAAAACTTCTCGAATCGCCATGGTAGCATAAGTGGATGGGGGAAGGGAGAACTCCATCTTTAGTGCCCTGAATTTACCATCTATCATAAGGGGTAAGAGGAGACACAAAATAAGAAAAAGTTGTTAAGCGCATAAGTAATGCTTATTCTGGATGCCATCTAAACTCAACTAAAATTTCCCATGACCAACCCCCCCAACCCATAAAGCAAAGCAACCGCCACCACCATACTCCAATTTTACAATCCACTGCAAAATTTCATAAAACAACTTCTCTAACATTTTTCTCTCAGCAGGAGGTGGTGTTTGGGGGGCCTTCTTCCTTTTAAAAGCAAAATATACTTTTGTTCTTTCAAAACTGAATTCCTAGCCTCTCTTTACTTTTTCTGGAAAGCAGTGTCAAAAGACATTGTGACCAGAGTTACATAAAAAAATCTCTATTGAATTCCGTTAAGTATTTGAGTTGTCTCTTGTGTTTAGCGCAAATAATACATGCTTAAGCATATAGACAATTTGTGGCTTAATTTCACCTTCATGCATTTCACAGACATTTATTTCTAAGCGTTTACACAATTTTACAGATGCTTCTAAGAAAATGTAACAGTCAATACAGACTGCTGGAAGAAGTGCTTCCACTCTTGAGAAATAAGGGTACTTATTTAGACACCTAACTTTGGATATCTTTAATACCATTGCTTAACAGTCTAGGTAAATTAAAGCTCTTCCTTAAAAGAGCTTTCAATATGTAGCAGTTCAAAGCAACAGCCAGATCAAACTTCTATTTTGCAAACATCAGCAGAAAAATCAACTTACCTGTAGGAAGAACTGGTAATGGTTTTCCTTCCAGCTTATCCAAATCCGTAGTAAATAACGGGATTCTGGGATCATCATATGCAACAACCTCCCTTTGTAACATACATAAGATTTTAAAATTATTTTTAAAATAATTTAGAATAAAAATTGTCATTTATTGTTTTATATAAATTTATATTTGTTATAATAATATTTATTATTATAATTTGGCAGTTACAACTGAAATGAAATTTATTTTCTAATAAAATAAGGTAAGGCAGCATTTACGGTGCAATAACTGGTAAAGCTTTCTGTACAAGACTTGTCTGTTTGATGAAGATTATAAAAAAAAACAAACTAGTGAGAACTTTCTATGCACAACTCATCTGCTTTCCCTCTCAGGCTGTCAGGATTTCCAGCTATACAAGAAGTATAGTTTATGAAATTATGGGAAGAATGGTGTCAACTCTAAGAATACTTGGGCAGGGGGGCGGGGGAAGCTTTCATTTTTAAGAAAGCCATATAAACTTCTTTGAAAGGGCTTAAATACATATTCTACTCTTTCTGCCATTCATTTAACAGAAATTCTGTATGTAATGATGAGGCTGAAAAAGTAATGGGAAGTAGATAAGCTTTAAACATCAGCACTAATTAAAATAAAGTGTTAACATTTGTTTCTTTTGTCTCGCTCCTAAACCCACTATATTTTTTTCCTATGCATCAGTGATCAAGTCTTTCTGCACATTTGTACAGTCACCTGTTTAAAAGGTATTTATTGAGTTGCCCTATGACAACTAGGTTGTATCTCTAACAACAGTGATTTAGTAGGTTTAAGTGATACAAATCTTTGATTGACAGACAGATAATTGGAAACCAAGTTTCTCACAGCAAGACTACAAAAAACCCTGTTTTGAATATTATCTATCATGGTTTCAACATAAATAATCATCTATGAAGTGTTCAGGCAAGCCCTTGAAAGGAGTCCAACAACTAGATAGATGTCTTGACACTCATGCATCACAGAACCAGACAACCAAGGAAGAAATAAGGCTAAGGTTCAACTTCGACTACATAAAAAACACGAGGGAAATGCACAGAGGTTCCTCCCTATCTATGCTTCAGTCTACATGTATGTCCCGCGGGTCAATCTAGTGGTTCTTGTACTTAGTCATCCCACATATACTCAATGTTGTCAATTCAAGTGTAATTTCCTTTATTCTCCTACTTACCAGTTGACATTCTGAGGTCGAATGATAATCTTTCTGTAGGCTCCAGAAAGTGAATAATCTCTGATTTTATGCCTCATGTTGTTGATATCAAGATTGTCAGCTACTAGCATTTCCTTGTAGGCCTCACCAACTGCAAGAGAGGAAAATATTTAACATGAGAGGCTGATTGAAACAGCCCGTTTTCATGGATCATTCCTTCCCTTATATTTAGTAGTTTCAGCATATATGGGGTAAATGTTACACAAGTTTAAAATTACTTACTGCAAATCTTATTACCTACATTGTTTGCTTCCACAACCTGATTAGTAGAGGCCAGTAACCAAGAAATAATCTTAGCAAATCAAAATCTCAGCTAAAAACAAAATTTACAAAATATTTTATTGACATCTCATACATGCTTTCCAATTATCTAAACTTCACAAGACTAGTCTCAGGTATACAGAGAAAAAAAAAAAAAAATAAAAGGGACCAGAGTACCCATTGTTCTCTTTGAAACAACAGCAGAGTGAAATGAGTTAAGAGCGCCCTCTGAAGAAATTAGCCAGTAGGGACCTTTAAGTACACTGCCAACAGAAGGAGTAATTCTGTAAGTCTTGTATCCTTAAGTAAGGGCTTGTGCATGCGTACCTGGGGAAGACAGGGAAGACAATGGAAATGCAAGAATATACTGCAGCTAAAATGTTGTCTGGTGCCTTTCATCTGCACTGCAATTGCCAGCATTACTTCATGCAGTTGGGAATTTTAAACAGGAATAAGTTAGGCTTACTGTGGGCAAACCCCAGTATAAATATATTGAATGTAACAAATTGCAGCTTTTCTTTCCAATCTTTTAACTCAGTGTGGTTCAGAGCCACAGCTCATCACAAAGACCTTTACCTTCCAAGTGTCTCAGAGGTGGGTGATAAATGGGATCCTAGCTCTGGGACTTAGCTCTGACAGGCAGACAGTCTCAAGTGACTTGACTGGTCTTTTAAGGACAACTAAGTACAAGAGCAGTTCAACCCAATATTGAGGAAAACAAGCATACGTATTGGGAGTCTGGTTTGGCTATGTAGGGAACTCATGACTAAGCTCATATATAAGGACACATACAGTAGGTGAAAGCTAGGGCCAGCTACGAAGAAGGATTATACAAACATTGTCCAGGCACGTAGGGATGGTGTTCAGAAAGCCAAAGCTCAGCTGGAGTTGAAATCAGCAACAGACATCAAGAGCAACAGAGTTAAGCTGCAACATCAGGAATGAAAGAATACAACAAGGAAAATGTTGGCCTGCTGCTAAACGGGGCAGCTGGTCTAGAGACAGACATAAGGCTGATGGTCTCAGTGACTCCTTTGCCTCAGTCTTGACCACCAAGCTCTCCCAGGCCTCTGTTCCTAGAGGCAAGGTTCAGGAAAGAGAGGGACTACCAGTACTGGAAGAAGATACAGGCTGAAAGAGCTGGCTCACATCATGGTAAAGCTTTTCTCTATCATCTCTGAAAGATCGTGTTGATCTGGGGAGGTCCCAGGCGACTGCAGAAAACCAAGTGTTGCAATCACCTTCAGAAAGGGCAAGAAGTATGATCTAGGGCATTACAGACCAGTCAGACTCACTTTGGTCCCTAGGAAAAATAATGGAGCTAATCCTCTTGGAACATGTTTCTGGGCACACAATGAGAATAGTGGTGAGCATGGTTTTACCAAAGAGAGAAAAAGGAAAAGAAAAACCAAAAAACCCACCAACCTTACTGCCTTCTATGATGAAATTATTACACCTGTAGATGAGGGGAGAGCAGTGACTGTTGCCTACCTTGCCTTTAGCATGGCTGTTGACATGTTCCCACAGCATCCTTGTATCCAAGATTAGAAGATTACAGTGGGTGGACTGCTAGATGGGTAAAGAACTGTCTGGCTGATCATCTCAAAGGATAGTCACTACTGGTTTGAGCTCTACCTAGAAGCTTGTTACAAGCAGAGTTCCTCAAGGAACTGGGATGTGTCCTGTTACCTTTATCAGCATACATGGAGGAGGAGCTGGAATTCCCCCCAACAAGTTTGTGAACAAATCAAGCTGGGGTGGCAGTCGATACACTCAAGGCAGGACTGCCATTCAGAGGGACTTAGGCAGGCTAGAGGAATGGGCCAAGAGAAACCTCATGAAATTCAGCAAGGACAAAGTCCTGTACCTGAGAATGATTAACTCCTTGCAATGGTCCAGGCTAGGGAGCAACTCTGCCGACAGTCCCCTGGGACTCCCAGTGGAAAGAAGACTTAACAGAGTGCTCTGGCAGCAACAAAAGCTAATATCATCAGGAGCTTAGCCAGTAGCTACACAAAGAAAAACAATTACTGCCCTTTACTGGGCACTAATGAGACTGCACTTAGAATAGTGCGCCCAGTACAAAGTAGATGCTGATGAACTTGAATGAGTCCAATGGAGGACAACCTCAATGGCCAGGGGTTGTAGCCCATGTGCTGTAAGGAGAGTCCAAGAGAACTGGGCTTCTTTAGCTTAGAGAAGAGAAGACTTAGAGACTATTTGTTCTTGAAAGTTTCAGACAAAGCCCTGAGCAAGCTGGCCCAAATAGGGCACTGACCTTGCTTTGACCAAAAGGTTGGACCAAAGGGCCTCGTGAGGTCCTTTCCAACTGAAATGTTTCTACAACTCTATCCCTTAATAGTAACATCATGCTCCATGCAATTAATTATAGATCACTCAACCTATTCCATTAAAAACAATTTAGAACCGAGACACTGTATAAACAGGAGATGAAAGATATGCTTTTTAAAATATTTTTTTTAAACTTTCATGTTGGTTAATATTTAATTAAACAGATCTGTTTCTTTTTGCTAACTTCCAAGCGTTTGCTTGGGTTACAAATTCTAGAAGTTTGGTTTGTTTTCTAATTTAAAAATCAAATGCATACACTTTTCAATTAACATTTCACCATTTTTTTCCATTTGTGCTGAGATAAATAATTTTGCCTCAGTAAAAAATGTCTTTCTTTGGAAAAGCTACGAGCTAAAAAGAAATATGAAACAGACTGATGTTAAGTGAAACAAGTTACAACTGTAGACCATTATTATCAAAATGGAAGAGGCTGACAGTAATGTATCAGATCTGAAATAGTGTATTGTTTTAATGGTCACCAAGGTTCCGTAGATCTAATCTTCCTTTTAAGAACGATCTTAAAGCAGACTTACATTTTCAGAGTAAGTACATAAGTTAACAGTCAGACTTACTTTTGTGCTTTGGATAAATAACATCAAATCCAGGTAACGGCATCACTACATCATGGATAGTGTAGTTATCAACATCTCCTTCTTCGATATGAACAGCTGTGGCTACAATCAGGACAGAAAAATGAAGAGTTGCCAGTATGGATGTCTGTGACAGTTAACATTAGCTAAATTTAAAATGAACCATTTGATTGAAACAAAGCCTACTTTGAGAGGGATAACTACAGTGTTTTATCTCCCTTAATAGACAACATTTCCAAGAAAAGAAGTAACAGTCTTCAAGGCTGTCACAGTTACCGGCAGAATCACAGCCTGGTTTCCAGTGACTTTTTAAAGTTGAATGAAATAAGGACTGCTAGATGAATAATCCCCTTACCAGGCATACATGAAGGAGAAATACTGCGGATATTCTCACCCCAGGGAAATGCCAGAGCAAATCCAAGTGAAGAAAGTTTTAACTGAGTGGAGCTTCTGCTTTACAAGACACTAACGCAAACAAAAACTTTTGTGGTTAAAACATTCATAACATCCTTCCGTAGTTCTCCATAGCTCAACTAGGTTTGAATTCATTCTTGAGAACAATCAGTCCTTCATTGTCTCTCTTCCCTATCCAGCTATCTGGGAAAACAAGCAAACCAACAGCTCATGGACATGTAATACCTAACTTACAATTCCTTGCAAAATTTGACTAAAACTGGCCAATGGATTCAGAAATCACTGGACCAAAATGGGTGAGAGGGAAAAAGAAAATATGTACGCAGTATCACATAAACAGATATGTGCCTTGTTTTCCTAGGAATTTGAACTATACAGCAAAACTTTTTGTTTGTCTGATTTTACCTCCTTTAAGTGTGAGATCTCCTGGTACAGCTCTAAGCCCGTATTCTTCTATTCTCTTGCTCACCATATTATTCCACACATAACTCTGGTAGCTATGAATATACATTAAACGATTATTTCTTGGTATCTAGAGGTAAAGAAAAAAAAAGAAGTGAAACATCAGAAAGATGTATTTTTAGTTTTTTTTCTCAATCATAACCAAAACGGCATATATTTGAAATGTTACTTTCTCCAGCAACAAGAGTAACACAATTTCTTCATATACAGATTTGATTTTTGTTCATTATTTGGGAAAAAGGTATGTGAAGAAATAATGCTTTTATACATTTGAAATCCACACAAAAAAAACCCCTGTACTTAAATTCAGGAAAAAAAAAAAAAAAAAAGCTTTTTTTTAATTCAACAGCTCATCAAACACCTGGGGCTATTACAAAACACTGAATTCATACTCAACCTCCTGAAATCGTAAATAAACTTTGCAGATGTGAAACCACAGTGTTACTCTAATTATCTTCTTCATAAACAAGAAATTATTCCTCAGCTCCTACAATGGGCCAGTAGTTTGCTGGTGATGAGGTATTTTTTCCAAAGACTTGATCTTGATTACAGTACTCGAAAATGACAGTGAATCCACCATCTCTATGCCAAGCTGATTCAATAGCACACTATCAGTTTGATTTATACTTTTAAAGAAACAGAAGAACTCTGATACTGAACCTTTGCACAATTCTCAGATCTGTATTATACATGGTTACTAAGTATAACTGTATTGCTTCCAACATACCAGAGTTTGTTGTATAAATTAGAAAGCTTATTACGCATACATTAATTACAGATGTCATCAGTTACCATGCAGCAGTACTTCAAGCAAAAAGACAGGATAAATGTAAAGATTTTACACTTAACCTTCTATTCATCAAGCATCTATGAGTCTATTTCAAATTCATCATGATACCATCAAAACAATGTTTATTCAAGTAAATACCCCACAGCACTTTTACACTCACTATGCCAAATGCAGAGATTATGTTCTTCATTCCATACTTTAAGAGTCCACGTAGAAGCTGTCCTTCCACGCACCTTTTTACGGGTAGTTTCTTGAGGGCTGCTGCTGGATCTTTAGTCTTTGCCCATTCTTCTCTGCATTTTACCAAGTATCCCTTTTCAGCTAGAACAAGGATGTAAAACAAAAATATTTTAACTACACACCAAAACAGCATCCATCTCACCTTTTGTTAAAACAATTGAAAAATTAAAGTTTCAGTCACAGTAATTACACAGATTAACAGAATCACAGAATAGTTGAGGCTGGAAGGCTTCACATGAAATCTGAGCAGACTCTGTGTGTAAGTATTCAGGTCCCTTTTCACCCCCAATGCAAGAAACTGCACAGCAAGGAAAGAGAAGCAGAGAGTCTGAAGATTACTTCTCCATTGCTAAACTGGCTGAAGTTTAGCATGTGCAAAGCTGTCCTCACAAACGTCCATTCAAATTAAAAGAATCAAAATCTAAAAGTGTTTTTCCTGAACATAAGAGTTCTTGGAAGAGGAGAGGCAAAAACACTTGATGTATCATTTTTCAGTCCTTACCTCCTGGTCGTGGTTTTAATATCAAATCCATTACTTCATTCCAATTGTTCTGTAGAATAGCTCTAAGATTCAAACAGTAAAGTTTATTAAGAACTGACTACATATATTTTAAGGAGATTTAGCCAACTTATGCAAAAAAAGAAGTATTAGTGTTTAGATTTATGGAATATTAAAAGTAGTGGTATTATGCAAGATATGTGCTGAAGCAAGTTCAGATACAAGTTCTTTCTTAAGTCTAAAATTAAAACTGGCACATGCAATATGCCAGAAAAACATTCCCCAAAATACATGAGAACTTATAAAGAGATAAAAATAAAATCTAAAAAAAAAAAAAAAAAAAAAAAGAAAACAACACGTACCTGCCAATTTGATATGTAGGAACAGCTGTGGTTCCAAATCTTTGCATTCCATAGTAATTAATGAATCCAATTTCCCTGAGAGAGTGCATTGCTTGCTCTATCTGGTCATCAGTTCCTGTTATGTTTCTAGTATTAAAAAAAAAAAAAGAGTTACAGACAGCTTAAGGGCTTACTCTATTTTGTGATCCCCATAATACTAAAGCTCAACATCAACATTATATAGCACTTATCAAATTCAATGGACTCCTGTCAATAGAAGGACTTTTCTTTTTTGTAACACAAGATGCACTGATATCCCTTAACTATTTAAAGAGAAAAAAAAAAATTCTAATAGAACTGTCCAAATACATACTAACATACTACCTGAGAACAACAGTGAAATGGTTCCCTTGCAGTTCTCCTAATTTCAGTGGATGGTTCTTGTAACTGAAATTTCCTAATTTGAAGTTCATCAAACATTTATTCAAATGAGCAAGTCTTTGTGCAGTGATTCTAAAAAGAAACAGACAACAGTGACCAAACCTATGCCTAGAAAAACACAGTTAAACAAATATAGAAATGCCATCATTTCAAAACAAAAAGCAGCAAGTCCAGTTTCCCCCATTTTCTATTGTTGCCTTTTTGAAGTATTTTAATGAAATACCTAAAATAAAAGAACAGGTAATTCTTAAGGCTACTTATACAAGAGAAAATGTATACTGTGACAAAGACTGTTAGTACTGTCTTTTCAGATCTATGTTACAGTATGCACTCAATAAAAAGTATGTTGCAATATTAATGTATTCTGTACCCCACAAGCTGAACTCTGCTTTATTTGAGTAAGGACACAATGGATACACTCCAGTAAGCAGTCATAACCACGGACTTAAGTAATTAGCCACTGTGTAAGCTTACTGCAGATGAAGAAATATGAAATCCAGTCTGTCACTGGTATCTGTCATTTTTGTTGCTAGTACTTTTGGAAGCATACCCTGTTCTTTGCATCACTGAACTGCTCTTTGACACTTCCACTAAAATTTATACCAGGATAGACAAGTTTACCAACTAGCATGGACAGCACACCCAGCTCAGACCGGGCTGATAAACGGTAATGTCTCCTCTCCTGCGCCATCCTTCTCCAAGGCTGCGCAGGAGGGTCGGGTACTGTGGCACTACTGAACAGACACCACAAATCAGTACTCTCCTCTGCAGGCAATGCTTACAAAACACTGAAGTTCTTGGACACAACATTAAATGTGATCATGTTAAAAGCAAAGGAACAGCACCTGAGATGGCTACACCACAAGTTTGGTTAATTGTCATCACTTTGCAAACTTGCCTTGCAGCAACAACAATCTGGGGCTTCTCACAATTCATAAATCAGTAATTCCTTTTATGTGTGCCAACGTATGCACATGCAAACCACTGGGAGGAAAAATATGAACAGTTAAGTAGTGAATGCCCCCCTTTTAACAAGGATTTGATCAAATTTCTGGCTCTCAAACCTTGGAATTCCTCACCTGAGGAGTGTGGTTTTCAAAGAGTTGTAAACAGTAGTCCAGGCAGAATATTCCAGCTAGCTAAACAGATATTGTAATATATGACTGCGAGGCATCCATCATTCTCGGTTATGGATGTAACACTAATTTCAAGTGCCCAGAAACCACATAATTATCTTGGAATATGAGGAAAATAAAATTTATTTTCTCTTAGTAGATGACTTATGAGAGTAGGTTAAGGCAGGAAAAATTCCTCATAAATTTTTGCCTCTTCTGGCTACTCACAGATGAGCAAAGACAGTGGTTAGCCTTCTCTGGAGCTGTTCAGAGTGTTCAGTGAGAAAGAAAATAGGATTCCAGCTGGAGGAAGGGGGAAACAAAAGTCAGGAAGGAAATAGGACATAATTTTCACTGTGTCATTCTGTTTTTCTGCTGTTGCATGGGAGCCATGCAAAGTAAGAGCACGTAGGCAATTTGGCCCACTGCTTCAGCCAAATACATGTATCCAGCCTATGACTCGGAGCACCACTGACTGAAAATACTAGCAATCACCACGGAATAAAAAAGGATTATAGCATCTTCATTAATACACGTGCTTTACAAGATCAGGACCTGAATCTGCCATTTGTATCACATGCATACTGAGTCTTCAAGGTATTTAGCAAGATATTCAAGCTATCATGGTACGAGTGCAAATACTCCAGTGTACTTTCACTTACCTAAGAACAGCGATCTCTTGAACTGTTATAGCCCTTTTATCTTTAGTTCCCATGTAGGAAAATATGTTTGGCTTCACTCTTAAATGCAACAGTAACAGATATTATGTATATTAAAATAGCCACAGATCGAACATAATTTTCACTATAATTACCTAGAATTATTAATCATCAGTATTAAAAATAGAAAATATACATATATTCCCCAGAACTGGCTACAATTTGACGTGTGACATTTTCTAATCTCATCTATAAGTACATAAAACACAGAAAAAAATATACGTAGACAGATTCGCTTTTGCCACAACTGTGCTTTCAGAATATAAGCTTTGAAGTACTTCTTTATATACATCCACTCAATGCACAAACATGCAGCCACCACTAATTCCACTAAAAAAAAACAAAACACAAACATGTTCATTTCTTCCTTAAACTTCAAATAACATGTCTGTTTGAATACCATGCACACACATTATGTGAGAATATGAGAAGTTAATTTAAAATTTGATGTATTTCTTTCCTTGAGTGGAAAATTTCCTTTCCTTTTTCCACTTTGTACTTTACAGCCTGTGTTACACAGGGAATATTTTCAGTTATTCCAGCTATGGGCACCAGGGGGTAGGCAGGATTGCCATTACATAAATTCTTCCACCAAACTATGCTCCTACCATTCTGTTCTCAAATACAAATACTAGTAGTATACTGGTTAAGAGCCTAGATTACAAACATTTATTTTTGGACAGGAAGGGCGAAGGGAAAAGAAGGGAAGTAGCGAAGTTTCCCTATAAGAAGTAGATCACTGAATTGACCCAATTTTAAAGCAGTCCTTCCCCTGCAATTCACTGTGTTCACATCACGCCTTTGGCAAATCTTTTTGTTGCTGCACTTGATGGGGTGAAAGGAACTAAGACTGTGTTGCCATGGAGAAATTAATACATGGAACAACAGTTTATCAACTGTAACCGCTTAGGAACTGATCAGCATATTATCACAACAATATCTGACAGGTTCATAACATACTTGCATATATTCACACACTGGGAAAAAAATGGCTTTTAATTCAGGTTACGCACATTAAGGCTTTGAGCTGCCAAGCCTTTCTCACATCAGCCAACTTCAATTGTGGACCTTTTTCCATTGAAGTAGTAGAGTACAGTCTTTTAAATTTCTTGGGATCATTCTGTTCCATTCTCACCTCCTTCCAAAACTTACAAGTTTCAAATTTGATATTCTAAAATAACTTTTTTTTTTTTTTAACACTGTTAAACACTGGCTACAAATTAGGCAATAGTAATAATTTGTGTTGCTCTTACACAATTCTGAAGCATAACATTCACAGTAACATGAAATATACAGGGTTTTAACCCCAGCCAACAACTAAGGACCACGCAGCCGCTCCCTCACTCCCCATCCACCCAGTGGGATGGGGGAGAGAATTGGGAGAGAAAAAAAAAAAAAAAGTAAAACTTGTGGGTTGAGATAAAGACAGTTTAATAGGATAGAAAGGAAGAAAATAATAATGATAATATTAATAATGACAATAAAAATAAACAAATTGGAATAGACAAAACAAGTGATGCACAATGCAACTGCTCACCACTCACTGACTGATGCCCAGTTAGTTCCCAAGCAGCGATCTGTCCCCACCCCCCCAGCCCCCACTCCCCCCAGTTTAGACACTGGGCATGACATCACATGGTCTGGAATACCCCGTTGGCCAGTTTGGATCAGCTGTCCTGGCTGTGCCCCCTCCCAACTTCTTGTGCCCCTCCAGCTTTCTCGCTGCCTGGGCATGAGAAGCTGAAAAATCCTTGACTTTAGACTAAACACTACTTAGCAACAACTGAAAACCTCAGTGTGTTATCAACATTCTTCTCATACTAAATCCAAAACACAACACTATACCAGCTACTAGGAAGAAAATTAACTCCATCCTAGCTGAAACCAGGACAAGGGGGAGGACTGCATGCTATCCAGGCTGGCAGAAACAACAGCCTTACCTTAAAAATTTGGATAGGACATTAATGGCATCCATAGTATCCTTGTTCTCCTTGTACAGTACAAAGTGGCAGTAGCTTCCCCTAGATTTTGGCCAAGAGTGTTTTCTTGGATCTTTAAAAAAGAAAGGTGAAAATTTGTAAAGTGTCAATTAGTATCTTTGCCATTGCAGCTACATTTAAAACAAATGTGCAAGAGTCAATTTCTGCTAATTTCCAACTGCTTTAAAAAAAAAAAAAAAAGAAAGAAAAGAAAAAAGCTGCAAAGCACATTGAAAAAGACCTTCTCCCCTTCCACTGGGCTGTATGCTTTTCTTTAATCAATTCTGTCACCTAGAAAATCCTGAATGAAATGGTGACAGTTCCTTCGTCACGAAATTATTAAAAATATACGCTAATCATTTAACTGCCATATTGCCTGACTGAATTTCTCAAAAACATTATAATTACACTGACTTTCAACAATAAAAGCCACTCCACATTTCATCTAGGGCCTTCTATAATTAACAGATGAGGACCATTGGAGGCCTGTTTGTGGGAAGACTACGATTACTACTTATAGTACTAACATATTCTTTACTTCTGTAGGATTTTTTGTGTGTCATGCAAAAGCATGGGTCGTATCTCTACAAAAGACTAAAAAAAAATATACTCTTAAGAAATTACTTTAAGGCAATTTTTTTTTTAAATCCTGTGGAAGAGAGAAATCTGGCATAATAGAGACATTAACAAGTAATTCGAGCCAGATACTGTGCAGTGTTTAGGGAAGGCCAGAGGGCGAAATAACTTCAGCAGACTTACAACTGATTTACAATTCGGTGTTTTCTGGAGAGGGAAGAAAACTGTCAATGTATTTGTCAAGCTTTTGTTGCACACAAAAGCCTCCAGAGATAAAACTTTCCTTTTACAATCATCCACTGTTGATGGCATTACTGGGAAGGCGGACTGATTCTACACAGGTTTAGCAATCAATTTTGAGGTGCTTTGTTTACCAACTCCTGTTTTGTAAGAAGAAAACTAAGGATTTGGTTTTGTTTTAAATCAGAAGTCCGTTATCTCTTGGTAGCCACCAAGCAGACATTCCTGATTTTGTACAAAAAGGGCTTAAGTGTCTTTCGTTAACAGCAAAAGCTAACTGAAAAAAGCCAGTCCTGTTCCAGTATATAAACACCAATGCAGGAAAGAAGTTCTTGGGAAATTTTGCTCTTTTTGCTCCTGTTAGTTTAATAAAGCCAGATAGCCCACACAGCCAGTGAATATGTTTAATTGTCAGGAAACTTTCTGGTAAAAGATAATTCTTGCTTTTTTGAGAAGCTGCCATCCATACACACACTTCTGCAAAAACAGTTTTGGATGCTACAGTATAAAATACTATACACATAGTTTTTAATCACTTAAAAATTATTGCAACACTTGCCTTGTACCATCAGTTAATAAGCAAAGCCCCCCCCATGGAGTTTCCTAGGGCCTAAACTGAGCAGCATGGTCCAAAGCCTGTTAAGAGACCTCATGCTCCCGCTGGTCTCCCTTCTTAGCCACCACTGCTCTTAAACACAGTCAAGGAAACACTGCATTCAGCTTGAAGAGCAAGGTCCTTCATTAAGAACTTGGTAATTAGAAGGGAAGAGAGGAAGACAGAGCGTGATTCACAAGGAAAGTCTTCTCCAGCTGGAATTGTTCTTTAAATTTAATCCATCTTACACGCAGTCATTTCAACACCCTTCAAAAAGTGAGCCCTAATCTGGGCTAGACTAAAAGGACCCTATAGATACTATACCTATCAATGGGCTCCTCATGCTTTGGGCATCACAGCCACATGCCTATCCACCACACTGCCCGTCATGCTGTGTACTGGGAGGCTGCAGTTACAGTCCCGATATTTAACCATTCCTCAACCACTACTTCAAAGTATTCAACTGGGTAGATGGACCAGAAGGACAGTTTGCACTCCCTATTGCTATGTTTCAGAGTTGTTACATTTTTGACAGTGAAATCATATTTCTAAGCCCTTTTTCCAAACCTTTTGCTGCAGCTTGAGGGCTGGAAGCTCTTTTTTAATATTGGAATGTATGATATATACTTTTAAGGTTGTATAAATACAGATAGTAGTGTCTGAAATACAATGCTGAAGGGCAAAGGCTCAGCTTAATGAAGTCAATGGAAAATTTACCATGGATGTCAAACAGTATTGTCAAAACTGGTAACTCACGTCACTTATTACTGGCAGACGTTCTCTGCACTGAATGACTACTGCCTGTACTGCACTAGGAAAAAGAGGTAGCACAAGCCCAATTTTTGGCTGTTGCAGGGAATTTTAAGCATAACTTATCGTGTCTGTGTGTGTTAATGAATTAATTGTTACTAGTTTGGCCAGTCTTGTTGCTATTTAGGAGGTCATAATGGTTGGCATTTCATTTTGTTAGCATGAAATGTCAACATCTCTTACCTGTTGCAGTTCTGACCTCTGTCCCAATGCATAGCATAAAGAGCACAAGAGAGTAGCATTTAATTTTTAGACTGTCAAAGGGTTTTTAGAGGTGAACATGCAGGTTTATGGTTATGGGATTGTTTATGCTTTAGGGAGCATCCAACAGTTAGGTGGTGGATGACAGCAATTTAGACAGTTATGCAATGGAATCGTGCAGAGGCAAACAGTGAACATATGGAAAGCTTCAATCGGAGATGCAACAAACTTCATTTGTGGACAATGATGAAACAGTTTACTGACAATTTAGTAAGGCAGTATTTTAAGTATTTTGGGTGTAAACTTACTATAGACACAGAGCAGCTTCTAATTTTAAATTTTAGGCAAAGGATGTTTGGTAGCCTTTTACATTATCAACAAAAGTAATCGGGTATCTCAGCTAATCTTCGAATATTCTACACTTCTGAAATGTTTCTTGCCTGGGGAACCCACTCAGGACTAAGATGCATTAGTGGCTATATAAACACAAAAGATAAATATAATCCTGACTAAAAAGAACTTGCACTCTTAAATCCTACATTCATAAGCATTTACACACACTCACTGAAACTGCACACATCTCCACCAACATGCACAGGTGTTTGTACCATCACAGCTTAGGAATCCAAGTTTGAATGGATGATGCTTCTCTGCATCACAAGATGGTGCTTCAGATAATGTTTTAATCCTAGAGACACATCACTAAATTCTTTTCAGCGTATTTCCAATACTTATTCTTTTATACAGTATCTCTTAAATCAGATTGGTCAGCTCAATAACAATCACTTCACTGTAACAATGGTTAAAGAATAGAAGCAGCAGAAGGAAAAGGTGGAGGTAAAACCAGTACGAACCAACAGAGAACAAAACTGTCTGAGGAGAATTTGGTGCTGGTAAGTATACATACTCCATGCAAAAAGCATGCAAACATACAAATTTTCTAAACATGGTTAAACAAGATACATAAACATATTATAATTGTACCAATTAAAGTAAAACATATTTGCTTAGAACAAGCCTTAAAAAATAGTAACTAAATTGAATGTGGATATGGTGTTATTTCCAATTTTAAATTATCTCCTTAACCTTTCCCCATCTCCTTCATCTTCAAAATGAAAGGGCTAGGTTTACATACTGTCACTTGTCGTAGGTTGAAGTGACATAGGAATGCAATCAGTTTAAATAAAACATTAATACCTTGCGTTAAACGTGCAACATTCTGCATGTAGACAATCCTCTCAATAGCAACAAATTTGTAGTAACATTAAAAGATGTAGAACACATGAATTTATCGCCAGTAACCAAAACAGTATTTGGCAAGGTTAAGGTGGATAACACTTCATTTTGAAAATCCTTCATTACTTTGATTATTCCAAAATAGTAACTGTGATTTATAATGAATAAAGACAATTTTCTGCAAATGTAATTAGCCCTGGCAGCAGAAGTAGCCTTAAAGATCATGGTAAATATATTATGTTCATAAAAAAATATAACTCTGAGAAAACAAATAGGTGCTTGTCTTTATTCACGTCATTGAGAATTTTGTAACGGATTTTCAAGATAGTCAAGATTACAGTGACTGACAGTGTAATGTATGCATTTCAACTACAACCTCTTACTTCCACAATGCACTCTTACACGTCCAGGTAAGTTCATGAAAGCTAAGCTCCAATACTGAAAATAAAGCCCCTATTTTGCTTATTCCCACTGAAATAGCAAAAAATCCTCTCACTTCTAACATGGTTTTATTTGACGAATGATTTGGAAAGAAAAACAAGTAGAAATTTAAACTTGAGACACTCCTTCTGTTCCTAGTCATTTTAGATGCACAGCATCAGTTTCAAAGAGGAAAAAGCAAAGGCAGATTACATTACGAAGTACACTCCACCCACTTGACGTATTTACTAACGATTTTTGGTTTGGGGATAATTTTAGCATTTACTTTACCCAACTGCTCTGATACTGAAACTCACTTGCCAGTGCTTTTTTCCCAGCAGCATGATAAGCAATAATGTATTTTTTTCCATCTCGATCTTCTGTTTTAGTCTCCAGTCCAGGAAACAAGGACTTCACAGCCTGATGGATAACTGTTCTTTTTTCTTTGGTGTCTTCAATTACCTGTGTTAATACACACACATGTAGAAACCACATAAAGTAATACAAAATGGGAGGGATTCTCTCAGAGTTAAACTTTGCATGCTTAAAGAAAACCTACCAAATCACACTAACTGAATAGGTGTACTTTTAAAAGTCCGGCCTACTTATTAAAATTAGTTTGAAAAATAATAAACAACTCTGCTACAACCCCCAGCCTCAATATTCACAAAAGAAAATTCTCAAGATTTATTCCCTTCTTCTGTGCTTAATAAAATTCCCTCTTCTAATGAAAACTCTGGCAAAATAAAGTTTTTCTATATGCAATAAATAAAAAAAAAGGCTAGATAAGATTATTTAATGTGTGAATGCATATTTGAAAATACCAAATTTAATCCCACTCATCTCTGTGTCCCAAGTTTAGCTCAACAGTTATTCTTCAAGTATATGGAATATTTGGATGTTTAAAAATACAGAGTTTGCATTTCATTTTGTACCTTCTTATTTTGCTTGTTACAGAAGAGCATATTTATCTTCTTTTCTATTAAATCACTGAACAGTGACCTTGAAATAGTCTTTCATCAGGACGGATGTTTTATTTAATCCTTCTTATATAATTATTCTATAAAATACTACTAGACAAAAAACAAAAATACTGCAAGAAAATTTTAATGCCACAGAAATTAAGACATGTATTTGAGTTCATGTGTACAGTCCCACCGAAATCAAAACGATAACTCATGTGCATGAATTTGAGTGTATCTGTAAGGCTTCACAGAATTAAACCCTAAAGTGGAAACATTTCAGTTATTACCTGTTGCATCATGTTCAAACTGCTCTTATACCTTAGATGCATTAGAAAGTACATCACGTACCTTCCACTCACTCACTCTCTCATCCCACCCCACCCCTTCATATAATTTATTAATTTTACCTCTATGGCCACACTCGTTTCCTTATTCTTAAGAAGCTGGAGCTCCTCTAAACGCTGCTTGTCTTCATCTGACAAAACTGTAAATGTTTCTTCTGATGGGTCCTAACACATATTTGGGGGTGGAAAAACAAACATTCAATAACCCTCACAGAACATCTTTCAGCCTTTTAATGTTTTTGCTTAAGGAGCATAGCCATTACCAAATCTTTACCTCAAAATTTACCTCATCATCCACTGGAACAGAAAAGTCATCTAAATGGCTCACACGTCCATCTTTGCCTATTTCATGGACAACAAAGTCTGAATATCTGATAGGAAGAAACATGCATTAAATTTGTAATAAAAAAAATAAAAATCCCACATCACATAAAGTCCTTTCCCAAGAAGCTTTTTGTTAGCAGAATTCACTCAAGAATTCCAAATTCACATAATTCAATTCACATAAAAGAAAATTCAACCATGAGAAAGCTGTACCTATTCCCATCCCTCAGAAGGATACCATGAGAACGCAGAAGGTCTGGCATATCTAAACACAGCAGACTTCTTTGCAGATAACCAAACACCTGCTGTAGTTATTCTGAGTCATTTTCTCACTAGCTTGCAGAGATCAGTAATGCATATCCTTAATACCAGTCATTACTAGCAATTAAGACTCTACCGCACTGCTACAATGTGAACACACATGCATTAATTCTGTCACTTCAAGTAAGCTATAGAATAAAGTGCATGTTAGCCAACCTAAGGAAAGCAGGACAAATTCAGCTGTGTAACATGCATTCAATTGTAAAGAACATCTTTCAAATAAACAGTTGCTCTGCATACTCTATGACAGCAACAAAGAATTTGACTGTGACATTTTCAATCAAGTCACTATGTCCAATAACAAAAACGCCCTGACTTTAACAGTCTATGTTGCAACGGCTAAATGATTTTTAAGTAGCATTTGCTTGTAAAGGAAAAAAAGAAAAAGAAAAACAATCTTAGTCTATGAATGTTGAAAGACAAATAAAACTTCACCATGGGAATGTTTCTACTGCATCTCCCCCAAGCCCCCGTTTGCCATACCTTGGTGCAGCCATACATCATATTGGTAGAATTCCTTCCTCAGGAGTGTTATGTGTCCTCTCTCCTATTATCTGTAGCTGTCTAGACATGCTAGTGACTGGTACCATAAAAACGCCAGAACTAAATTAATGATAGGTATTATAAACTAGGATCAAAGAAAAACCATGAGCCAACGAATGTTTCTACCATCCAGCTACCTTTGGTCTCCTTGGTTCAAAACTGGCTGATTTCCCAGAAGGAGGTTCAGCACAGACTGTGTTCCCCAGTGAAGGATTATGCTAGCTGCTTAATGCTGCATATAAAGATTAAGTACATATATAATATGTACATATCACTTTATTATGTAAAATGATCTATATATGAAGCCAGTATTTAAAAACAGGGACTTCTTGGTGTGTAAACAAAGCACCCTTAACTGCTTTGCTAAGTCAGGGCAACAATGATTCTCACTTCAGTGAGTTTTTGTATTTGCATTCTGTTTTATTCAAAGAGGTTATTTAATTTAAAAAAAACTGGAAGTTTCATTAAAAAAAGCTACTAAAACCCAAACACCTTATTAAGTATATAATGTAAAATTTCACACCGAGTTATAAAATTCCTTCTTATGTTTTGTAAATGACACTACAACTGACCAGACTATAATTTAAAGCCTAACAGACCATCTGACAATACACGTGTTTAAAGACATTAGCACAAAAAAAGGCAGAGAAAAACCAAAGAGCGATGGTTTCAACATCGTTCTGCAGTGCCTCCTGTATCAGCACTGAACGGTGGTACAAAAGGTGGGCATACTGCATAAGGTTTTATGCTGTATGCTACTGCCAGAGAGCAAGAGAAATAGCAAAGGTCAGTGTAATCATGTGTTTCTATCCATACACAGCTTCCTTTTTCAGAGCTCCATTTGACAGGAAAGAAGGGGGAAAAAAAAATTTAGAAAAGTCCCAAATTAAACCTTTCTTTCAGTCTCAGCACTAGGAGAAGAAAGTGATGAACCTCCCAAGAGGCCGCACATAATCCAGTTGCATCCTGTGACTCATAAAAGGAAAACAGAGAACAGCTGCTTAACACAAGGAATTAACATACATAACAAGACAAAAAGTTACCTCTCTTTTAAGATTCCAGAAAACCCTTTATGAGAGCTAACAAATTTAGTTATGCCAACGTCACTTTCTGTCAGTCCATGCTTCATCATGTCTGCAAAGCTCTCTGGATCTCCATCTTCATCACTGTCCTCTAGTTCCTCATCTTCCTGCTCCTCACTTTCCTCATTGGGGATTATTTCATTTTTCGTGTCCTCAAGCAGAGATTTGTCAGGTTGTCCTGTTACAGTCTCAACGCTCTGCCCAGAGTCGTTCCCTGTCTCAGACTTCTCTGAGATCTTCTGTCTTTTAATTTCATCTGCATTAGTCACATCATCCTCAGAGTGAGGACGTTTCAAGGATACACTATTCATTTCTACAGTTTCCATGTTTAAGGCACAGTGTAGGACAGAAAGCCCTGAGGAGCAAGAAGAATGGCTTATTTCCTGTCTGTTAAGAGCAATATCAATACATAGTCTCTTCACTCCAAGGACTCTGCACCCTGCAACAGTTCAGGAAAACCACATAACTTTCTGCATTTTTAAGTTAAACATCAAGTAAAGAATTTGTACAGCTAGAAACAATATGTACTTGGGAAGAGAGAAGGGAGATGTTACGGGGACTTATACCCACCCAAGGCAGCATGCATGTTAGGCTACGGAAGAGCAGGATTCAATACTACACTGACCATTTACCACCATTGTCACTCTTGCCAACTCTTACCACAGCTGCACCCAGCCCTGTGCACACAGGCTCTGCTGTCAACAGCAATTTAGTGCCTATGAAACTTTTTGCTCCCAAGCCTTCTGTTAAACATCACTACTCTCGATTATTCCTTGTTCTACCAAGATTCCACCTTGCAAGGATTGAGAGAGGATGGCTTGGTTGCCCCAAACCTGAAATCTCATCTCTTCTAACATACACAATCCCACACGGAAGTCAAGGTGGCAGCATTTCAGACCAAAAGGTAAGAGGGATGAGATAACAAAAATCGTTGAATGAGTGGGGCAAACAAAACAACAAAGAAGTGAAATGATCTCCAAGAAGAACATGACTACTCACGCTGGTGGACCAGAGCTCTGACTCTTCCCTGGCAACTTGAGCTGCCACCTTTGCATCAGCAGAACTAGTACCTTCAGATCTGAAAAACAGAGGAAAACTAACTCTTTGAGGAAATTTTAGGCAAAAAAACCCAACTATGAAAACATGTATGAATGTGATCATTACAGAAACCAGCCGCCTCTGAACCCAGGTATCAGTAGTTACATAGGAGCAGACACTACTCAGACAGACAAGTTAATAAGAAATAGAATTGTAAAAGTGTTACCAACGTAGTGACGTAACACAATATTGCTATTTAGCACACTACAGCAGAGAAGTTTGGGTTTATTTCTACATTTGTGAAAGGAGACCCGAGTTCCTATAATTAGGCAACGACAGGACCTTTCTCCCAGCATCACCCAAGTGGCACACGGGTGTGTTGGGGATAAACCGCAGGTTTTGGTAGCGGGTGACTGCATGGGAGGAGGTCATCAACTGCCCTGTGATGGTCATGGCCAGTTCTAGCTGGCTCTGTAATGGACAAAACCCACTGCCTGCCAAAACTCCAACTCATCAGATGAGCACACAGTGCCTCTGCTCCCACTTATTTAAGAAAGGGGGGAGCTGCCGGTGGCAGAAAGCACAACGGGAAGCACAAGAGGAGGTGTGTGACAGCATGCTAAAAAAGACACAGCGGGAGGCATGGGGAAGGGGGCACTGCTGGGGACGCAGCTGGAGATGCACTCGTGGAAGGAGGCTCTCCACACCAGAGCAGGGACACCCCTGAGAGGACTGCAGCCTCTGAAGGTGCCCACAGTGGGGCAGGCACACCCTTGAGGGGACTGTGGCCCATGGAGGGGCCCACGTGGGAGCAGAAGAAATGAGGAAGAAGGAGCAGCAGAAAGAAACCTCCATGCACCAACCCCAGGCTCCTGCACCAGCGCTGCCTCACCCCAGGGACAGGGTGGAACCTGTGGGGACAACCAGGGGAGGGGAGGTGTCTGGAGTGAAGGGCAGGGAGAGGAAAGGAGTCTTCCCCAAGTGTTTGTTTCACTGGTTGTCTTCTTTGTATGTCACTAGCCAAATCAGTAATTAAAAGTTTATGTTAACTGGCAATAAATCAAATTAAATTCCCCGAGTCAAGACAGTTTTGCCCACAACAACAGGCAAGTTTCTGAATTAATAGGATTGAACTGCTACTAAGAAATTAATTTAGGCACAGAGCGGTATTTGAGAGCTACACGCATCATCCTGTATTATCTCTCCAGTCACTAGATAGCATATTCTATTTAATTTTAAAGGGTAGGTTTTTAAAGGAAGACTCATTACTAACTCGATAATCATCACTTGCTGGGTTGTTAACTAACTGTTACTAATTAGCTGTTAGCCACTGCTGATTTCATTCCCTGGACATTCCATTGTAGGTCACAAACTTAGGGTGAAGAGGCAGGAACAACTGTTTTAGAAACACCTGAAATGTTTGGCTCAAATGAAGAACTGAAAATGGACACTAGAAAAAAGAATGGACAAAAGGGAAATAAGGAGAAACTTATAAAAAAGTGTATATGATGCCTGAAGAGAGGAGTGACAAAACACATGCAGAAGAAAGCGGAACAATCAGCAAATCAATGTACCTTCAAGCAGGAAGCACCAATTTCAGTTTGTGAAATACCTTGTTAATAAAAACAAGGTACATAAAATCCTTCTTTAAAAATAAGAAAAAAATTGTACCCAAGAGAAGCGATTCACCAGCATTTCCAGATTCTTCTCCTATGTTCCCAAATTTATGGAGCCTGGGTTATAAAGCACTGATGTGGAAAAGGCTTCTAGATGGCTTATGTCTTTGCATGGCAAATAAAACACCACTTGGCACACTGAAATCCTCTGAGACACCTGCCAAAGGAGGTAACAAGACAAATCTCACGTTTCTAAAATAAAATTATACCTAGTTATTGAACAATACAAACTGTTTGAAGAATTCAACATTGGCCACAAATACCCCAAAGCTATCAGATACGGCCTATGCTCACAGCAGAGGAATGACTCACATACAACAAAGTACTATCCTGCGCCAAATGGTGGCCATCATCTGGGAAAATTTCTGCAGGATAATTACTTGAAGGAGCAAGTTGAAGTGAGCGGGGCACACACTCTGTCACTTGTGCAGACTGCTAGTGAGAGGCACCTATTATTTTTTGACAGCTGCTCAACCATCTCGGTCCTTTTCCTAGCAAACAGGTGTTTCCATAAAAGCCAGAATTTGCATTAACAGCAACTCCGCAGCAATTTCAACAGAAACCATGTTTCAGCTGAGACTGAATTTACTACTACAAATAAAGGGCTTGATTCTCCCCAGCAAGAAACGCTGAGCGATTATTTCTGGTGTGGTTCCTGTCAGGCGGACACACAAGCTGGGGGACCGGGGGGGGGGGCTACGGGGTACCTCCCACTTAATAAATAAAAGAGCAGGAGGACGCCCGCGCTGGGTGCGAAGCCGGTTTCTCACGAGACGAGGCAGATCGGATGGAAAGGCGACCGAGGAGGGAGGAGGGCGCGACGATACAGCAGCGCCCGAAAGCAACCCCTGCAGGCGGGGGCGGGGGGCGGCGGGGAACCCGCCCGGGTGCGGGAAGCGTCTGTCTCCCCGCCGTGGGGGCTGGGGAGCCAGCAGAGGCTCGGCACCTCCGCCGCGACGTCGCGCAGGGGGAGCGGGGCGGGCAGCCGCAGCAGGCGGAGGGACGGGCCGAAGAGCGGCGGCGGGTCCCGCGGCCGGGCGCTGCCAGCCCCGAGGCTGCCGGGGCAGGGCGAGAACGAGGGAAGGGGCTGGGGCAGGCGGGAGGA